TGGTGTCCCATATCTCTTGTATATTTCATTCCCATGTTTTTTAAAAAATTTTCCATACTCTTTGCTTGAGTGGTCCAATTCTTCAACTTTATCCTCCAGTGTTGATATTCTGTTTTCCATTTCATTTATTTTAAAGGTGAGGCTTTCTCCTGTTGTTTCAAGTTGACTTATTGAGTTTCTCACTTCCTTCTTCATTTCTGCCTGAATTTTCTTCAATGTTTCTATCTCTTTTGTGAATTCATTCAGAAGTTTATCCCTATCTTCTTTTAGCTCTTTGATTTGTTTGTTCGTTCGTGTGATCTTTAAATTCGTTGAATTCCTTGATCATGTTTATAGTTGTTCTTTTAAATCAGTGTCCTGGGTTATCTCTAGGGGGTTCTCCTTGTAGAACTCTTCTACAGGATCGGTGGGCTTTGCTGGGGACATAGTGTTTTGGCTTTCCATTTTATTATTCTTTCGGTGTGGTTTTTGCATGTGAATTTCTTTTGTTGTTTATGATTCTGATATGGGAATTAAGTTGAAGTATGCTGCTGTTTGTATTATCTGGATGCCTAGATCTTATGTAAAGCTGGTTGGTACAGGGTTCAGGTTCTTTCAGGTATATTTTGGAGGGAACTGATGGCTTCAGATCAGCTATTCGGGGGTACCCACAGAAGCCCAATTCAGGTTTCAGTCAGGTACACTCAGGCTTTTTTCACCTCGTGGAGGCAGGATCCAGGGTCTCTGAGGCAGTCCTGTGTGTTGTCAACCCTATGCCAGAGGGATGCCAGAGGGGGGCCAGAATTTGGCACTCTCTGGCAGTCTGCTGAGCTCCCAGCCTTAGCCTACCAAAACCAGATCTGCCCTGGGGCCTTGGGAGGGGCCTCACAAAATCCCAGGTAGGGGGTTGGTATGGTGCAATTAGAGGAAGCTCACCACCAAGTGGAGGTAGGATCCAGGGGCTGTCAGGCTGTCTCCTGGGTTCTCAGGCCCTCTGGTAGTTAGAGGCCAGAGGGAGGCCAGAACCCTGCACTCTCTGGCGGTCTGCTGCGCTCTGAGAAGCTACCCTGATGGAGGTCCTAACCCACCCTCTCAGGCTGTCCAAAGATACCTTTCTTACACACTACACCTAAACATTACACCAACTCACATGAAATCATGCTTGGTCTCTCCTAGGTGAGGAGCCCTGAATTCAGAGCTTCATCAGTTAGTGGTTCTTCCGCCCCCAGGCATAAGCAGTCACTCACTAAAGCACTGCCCCATGACGTCATCTGCTTCTCTGTCCACCTTGATGCCTCTCCAAGGCTGAGAGTACACCCCATTGTGCTCTCTCCCTGGAAATTTCCAGCCTTGTGAGATGCTTGCACCTGAGCCCTGGTTCTTCTGGTCACCTGCTGCTTTCTTGCATATGCACCAAGGCTTCAGACCTGATGCTTGACAAAAGAAAAACATTTTAATTCCAATTGTTGTAGTCTTTGCGCTACTTGTAAACCACCTCAATCATTTCCTCCCTTATTCCTGAAGCCTCATTTCATTGACGCTTTCCCCTTCAGAATCTGTAGGAGTTACTAAGGAAGAGTAGAAACTAGGTATGGATTCCAGTCAACTTTGTCACTGGTTCTTATATAACTGTGGGTGAATCACAGCTTAAGTGGGACAGAAAATCTCCGTTACTGGAAGTTGCCAAGTCCTGATGCTCATGTAATCTTTACTCCCCAGTATGGAAAAACACCCGGTGGAGATGGAAAGTGCTAAGTATATCAGCTGAGCAACATGTGTCAGTAGTGACCCACTGTTGTCCCTAGCAAAAAGGACGAAGGCAGACTGATACAGCCAGGTCTCCGTGTTCTCTGAGGGAGGACTTTGTCCAGCTTTACTCGGTTCTTTTTCTGATGAGATGTGGCTGGTGTGGGTAGAATTTCTGCAGGATAAGGGAGGAGGCGAAGAGGCCTTCTTATCGGTGTGGTTCCTCGCACTCCCACAGGCCTACTTCTGCTAATCTGTGTGCGCAGGCAGTATCTCTCAGCTGCTTGCATTTGATAGCCTGTTTTGCATCCGATTTATTCCTGCCAACAGCAGGTGAAAACTTATTTAGGTGAGTCCTGCTTTTGCTGTTAATGCCACTTTATTTCATTTATAATTCTGTTCTGAGTGCTAAACCAAAGTGTCTTGCAGACCTTAGGTTTTTGTGTATGTGGTATAGCCTGTAGCATTGAAGAACTAGGTGCCATCTATCAGAGATGTGTATGATGTGTCATTGTTCACTGAGCTAACGTGTCGTAACTTCCATAATAAAGTAAGACCAGAGAAACATTAACAGACAACATGAAAAGGATGCCTTCGGTGTAGAGTCAGATGCTAGGAACTGGGCGTTCCCAGCTACTAGTCATTCTTTGAGAGATCTATAACTCATTCTATTACGTCTTCCTTATAATAAGCATAAACTGACTACTCATTTGGAAGTTCAGCATACCATTAGAATAAAGTGGTGTTATTTTACGTCATACAATTAGCATACTATCTAGCCATCAGGGAATTTAAGCTAATGAGGTGGTCTGTAATTATCTGGAGAATATGCCTCTGTGCTACAGGGTAGGAACAACAGACATCTGACGTCAAAACTGTTCAAAGGAATTTCAGTTTATTTAGACAGTGGCTGATGTAAACTTGTTCTTCCATTACTAGGCAATCATTTGAATAAGGACTATAATTGGAAGCTTTTCTTTCTTCTCTTTCTAGATATATTGCTGTTCTTGAACATCGTCCTATTTGAAAACACCAGGGAAGCTGAGCTACCAGTATGTCCAAGCACAGACTTGTTATGCTAAGACATGGAGAGGGTGCTTGGAATAAGGAGAACCGATTTTGTAGCTGGGTGGATCAGAAACTTAGCAGCGAAGGATTGGAGGAAGCTCGGAACTGTGGGAAGCAACTCAAAGCACTAAACTTTGAGTTTGATCTTGTCTTCACATCTGTTCTTAACCGGTCCATCCACACAGCCTGGCTGATCCTGGAAGAGCTGGGGCAGGAATGGGTTCCTGTAGAAAGCTCTTGGCGTCTGAATGAGCGCCACTATGGAGCCTTGATTGGGCTCAACAGGGAGAAAATGGCTTTGAATCATGGTGAAGAACAAGTGAGGCTCTGGAGAAGAAGCTACAGTGTGACCCCACCTCCCATTGAGGAGTCTCATCCCTACTACCATGAGATCTACAGTGACCGGCGGTATAAAGTGTGTGATGTGTCCTTGGAGCAGCTGCCGCGCTCAGAAAGCTTAAAGGATGTTCTGGAGAGACTCCTTCCCTACTGGAAGGAAAGGATTGCTCCTGAAGTATTGAAAGGCAAAACCATTCTGATATCAGCTCATGGAAATAGCAGCAGAGCCCTCCTGAAACATCTGCAAGGTACCAGCTTCCTGTACTCGTTAGAGGTTGCTAAGTGTAATATTTGGGACTTACTCTAGAAATTAAGCTAGTGATGCAAACTTCACCTCTTCATGCTCCTCAATTGTTCTCTAAGTCAAAACTCCTGTAGCCTTGATGTTCATTGTGTCTAAAGCAGAGGTTTTCAGACTTCAGTGTACATCAGAGTGACTTGGAGAGTTCAGTATAGTGCAGATTGTGGGTCCCACCTCAGCGTTCCTGAATAAAGAGGTACAGGCCAAGAATTCGCATTTCTTAGGGGTTACCAAGTGCTCCTGGTACTGTTGCTTGGGGTCCTGCACTTTAATGAGCATTGATCTAAAGGGTCACATGGCTTTTGCTGTAGTAAGATGGAAAGAGGCTGAGAAAGGAAGAAATTGTGCAGATGATGTTAAAAATAAATTTATTTGAGCTTTTTAAGTAAATTATCTAGACTTCAGTTTCACATACTTTCTTGCAGTTTCAAACAATTCTGGATGTGTTTTCAGACCTAGAGTTCCTGAGCAATTCTTTTGTTCCCATTTTCCAGTCTAGGCTTAGTCACTGCTTTCAAGAAAGCTAGAGGGGAGGAAAAGGAGACAATAGTTGGCTTATTTACTAACCCTGATTAAAACCTTGGAGATAATCAGCGGCCTTAACTTTATTTTAGTCACTTGGCGTACTCTAAAACAAGAACCCTTGAGTACGCTGGTTCTCCGTTTGGGGTGCCAGTGACTGCAGGCGACCCCTTCTGGGACTCTCTCATCCCCTGTTCTCCCTAAGCCCGGATGGTTGTGCCCTTGACTGGTCTGCACTGTGTTTTCACCTTCTTCGTCACTGTCCACGGTTAGCTCACTGGTTGGGATGTATCTTCATCTCTCCTTTTCATACTTTACTTTCATGCTTTACTTTCTGTGCTGGATAGCTTTAGTGTCAACTTGACACATCTGGGTTGAGGGAGCCTCAATCGGGGAATTGCCTCTATTGGACTGGCCTGTGGCCATGTCTGAGGGGCATCTTCTTGATGAGTGATATGGGAGGGCCCAGCCCACTGTGGGTGGTGCCACCTTTGGGCAGGTAGGCCTGTGTTGCATAAGAAAGCAGGCTGATCAGGAGCCAGGGGAGCAAGCCAGTAAGCAGTGTTCCTCCATGGTCTGTGCTCCAGCTTCTGCCTCCAGGTTCCTGCCCTGAGTTCCTACCTTGGGCTCCTGGATGAACTGTGACCCGGGATATGTAAGCTAAATAAACCCTTCCTTCCCCAAGTTGGTAGTGGTCAGAGTATTTTGTCACAGCAATGAAGAACAAACTAGGACACCTTCCCATAAGAAGCTGAAAAGGTGAAAGGTCAATACTGTGTGTGAAATAAGTGGAGTTGTGTTCTTTATGAGGTTTTAGTGTAGACTTTTAACACATGGTTATTCCTGATTTTGTATAGCATGATCTGGAGCCAGATTTATGACTTGAATATCTGACTCCACTAATGGTGCGGAGATCTAAAATCTACAGACTTCATTAGCGTTTACAGACTTTATTGGCTAGATGTGATGCTTGTTTTCTGTATGTCTGTGTGTATATATACTAGAATTTGTTAGAACAACAAACTGAAACTTAAAATTTCAAAATTTCTGACAATTTATATTTTGTGCAGCCACTTGTACAAAATCAAAGTTAGATATCACTGTGCCCAGCCAGGCTCCCTTCCCCAAGAAAATGCTGCTGTCTCCTTCAAGCGTCTCCTTTTTCCTTCCTCCCCAGCTAGGCGATCTCTGAAAAAATAGGGCTCAGTGGTTAAGAGCATTTGCTGCTCTTGCAGAGGACCTGAGTTTGGTTCCCAGCACCCATATTAGGTGGCTCATAACCGCCTTTAAGTCCAGTTCCAGGAGATCTGATGCCTTCTTTTGGCCTCTGTGGGCACCCACATTCACATGGCTTTTACTCATTCCCCACTGCCCCCCCCCCCCCCCCCCCCCCCCCCCCCCGCACACACAGAGAAAGTAGAGAGCAGTAGCAGTTGTCAAGGACTGGGTATGCCAGAAGTGCAGGGGAGTTAGAGAGTAGCAAGGCACTGAGTTTCTTGTTGGGGTGATGAAAATAGTCTAAAACTGACTGTAATGATGTTTGTGCAAATCTATGAATGTACTAAAAGCCATTGAGGTGTACATTTTAAGTGGGTAGATTATATGTGAATTATATTCCATTAATGCTGTAAAATAATTGGTGAAATTATAAATATAAAGGAATTGTCATTTCTTGGATTAATGACTAATAAGGAAAGTCAGTGGAAGTGGTAATAGAACAGAAATACATAGATAGGGACTATAAAGTAAATACTCAGCTTAGACCATGGGGAAAGAAAAGGACTGCCAGGCCACTCTGAGCAGTGAGCAGGCAAGAGGCACAGGCTGCTTCCAGCACATCTTTTAAAAAGAAAGCCTTCCTAGGGGCTGGAGAGATGGCTCAGTGGTTAAGAATACTGGTTGTTTTTGTAGAACACCTGGGTTCGAATCCCAGCATCCTCATGGCAGCTAACAACTGTCCATAACTTCAGTTCCAAGGGATCCAACAGCCTCGACAGCGCAACACAGGTGCAGTTACCTACATGCAGGCAATACACGCATACAAATAAAATAAAAATAATAAATAACTTTTTTTTAAAAAAAAGAAAGCCTTCCTAAAAGTTGGATGTATGGAACTCAGTGACCTTTCAGAGGTTAATAAATTTAAAATAATCTTAAGTTACAACTTCTCTCCCTATCACCATAAATAAACTTTATAGACAGTGTTTTTGTTTGGGTGATAATTGATTTGAGGCAGTGGAATTGGTATGAGGAAAGGAAAAGACATAGGAGGCATGTGAGTATAAGAAAAAGCAGAGGGCTGAGAGATGTCTGCCAGAAAAGAAATGTGTGTGAAGGCAATCGGTAGACGTGATGGGGTGAGCAGGGTAGCAGGCATCAGGGAACCTGGCACAAAAACGAAAATGCAGTTAGGCATTAGCCCATAACTCAAGAAACAGAAGTACTGGATGTGATGATTGTCCACAGGAAGACATACGGGTAGCTTTTAGCCTTGGCTCTCACCCATTCTGTGTAGAACTTGGTTCCCTTTTGGCCTGTGGTCCCTCTGGTGGAACCACTGTTCTTTGATGTCGCTGTGCTTCCTCATTATTTACTCCCTGCCTAACATGGAGGAAGTTGTTTCATGTGTATGAAATCAGCTGGGTTGATTTTAAGATTATTTCATAAATTAGTAATCTCTTGTTTTGGGGTCCTAGATACTACTCTACATTTTTTCTTATAGTGCATATTAAAATTAAGATCCAAGTATTCTCACAGATTCTTAAACTGAGTCAGAAGCCCATGTGGAATTGAGTCCCCATATAGGATCGTGTAGCTGAACCTCGGATTGTGAAAAATTTGGCAGCACTAAAAAGTTTCTAAATACACAAAGGTCAAAATTTAATTCAGAATCAGATGTGTACTGAATCTGAGGTGTTGTGCTGTGTGACTTCACTGCATACTTGGTTGTGAACACGCAACAAATACTCTGCACTGAGCATCTCATCATGCCACACATTGCAAAGAAACACTGCATGAAGCATCTTGGCCCCAGTCCAATGCTTTCATAATATGAATTGTTTTTGCTGTACATACAAGGTTTTCTGCTCTTACAGAAACACAATGACATAGTCATAGGAAACAAAAACTTTTCATATTTTCCTCCTGTCATTCCTTAGCACATAAGTATCAAATTAGTATAACTTTGGATTATATTGTGTTAGAATGTATGATTTTATGTATGTGCTGTTCATGTGTTCATGTGTGTATATATACATGTGGAATCCAGAGGTCTGTATCAGGTGTCTTCCTCTATGAATCTCTACCTTTATTTTTTGAGACAGGGTATCTCAGTGACCCTGAAAGTCTCCATTTGGCAAGACTAGCTAGCCAGCCAGCCAGTGAGTTACAGGGATCCTCCTGTCTCTGCCTCCCCAACACTAGGACTGGAGGTGTGCGCCACCACACCCAGATTTGGGTGGGTGCTGGAGATCCAGAAGCCCAGGTCCTTCCTCATGCTTGCCTGGCAGGCACTTGCATCAACTAAGCATCTCCTCAGACTTGAGTTTTGTAAAAAATCATTAAGTGGATATTGGCTTGAGATTAGGACAGAATTTCCAACTATTTCTGAAATGGCCCTAAACATAGAATGCTGTTTTATTCCATGTATTTATGCGAAATGGCATTCTCAGCATTGACAATTATAAAATCAAAGAATTGATCAACTGAAAAATGGTGAAGATGCCCTATATCCTGCATTATCAGATATTCAGCCAAGATTGAATTCTTTATGTAAAAATAAACATATTTATCCATCTCATTAGTATGCACATTTTCTGTATCTTTAATAAATATTAGATTTACCTTTATACCAAAGATTTGTTTTTAAAATAAGTTTCTGTATGAGTTATTATCAGTAAATGTTTGACTTGTATACTTATTGGCTTTATGTACCTATACACCAGGGTTGTGTAAAAGAAATTCTCTGGCAGAAGGGGCAGCGAGTGACAGTGTTGAAGAAGCCTTAGTCTCTGCCACAGCTGTAAGAATTAAGCACTAGTGTCTAACAAAAATCTGAAGAAAGGCTGTGGAATGTTTCTCCCATGTTATCTCTTGATCGGATGACATCTCAGCCTTTTGAAATTGATTACCAGAAATATTCACTGAAATAGGAACACTCACCAAAATTGGAACTGGAACATTTTCCTATTGTCCTGCTTGTCTGACCTTTGAAGGTCAAACTATAAGGCTTCCTGAGTTATTTAATAAGTTCTCAGCCTAAAACAAAGTGTTTGTTGACTTTAGATGCTAGTTTTTCTCCAGAAAGTTAAATGAATCTCCCTGGTTTATGGGAGAAATCTGAACTTTCTCTCTTAAGAATTGAACGTTGAAGTGTGTGTTTACTGTGGGAACATGAAATTTACCACACCACCAGCTTATACTTCA